AGCAACGACAAATAACGACAGCGAAACACAAATTGCAAAAAAAAACAATTAAAACAATGTGAAAAGAGCCAGCATTTAATATTCAACTAAAAAAATTTGAAAAATCATTAAATAAGTGTTGGTATAACGCACTAGCACTACTCGACACGTACTACGTAAATACATATGTATTATCGGCATATACGATACTCGTATACTGGGGAACGGTTCCACTTGACGTAGCACTCTGCAAGCCGCACTTTTAACAACGTCGACGACCAAATAACAAAGCTGACTTGGCGAGTGAATGCGACACGAACGAAACTCAACTGCCGGGCGATAACTGACTGGCTGACTGACTTCAAAAATAAACTCGCCACGCATAAGCCAGTAAGTAAAGTCAATCTTTTGTATTTGCCAGCTGAGCGCTCCAAACGCCACAAAAAGTGATTTGGAAAAGTAAACAAATGCAAAAGAAAAGCCAAAATTAAAAACAGAAGCAAAGCGAAACAAATGCAGAATGAATGGGCTTCCACAGAAGTATGAGTAAAATGTTTCAGAAAATAAATATGGAAAGTAATTGTTAAACAAGCACAGACTCAGTTAACTATTATATGAGAAACTCTCTTCCAGCTTGTTGAGTCAGGTAAAGAGTATGGGAGCAATATTTCATTGCAGGCGTATTAAACATAAAAAATTTAAATATAAATAATGACGATATATGTACATATACATACATATGTACATATATGGGTTTCTAAACAGAATATTTTCAATAATTCATGAAAATTAAGGAATTTACTTAGTTTGGGAAAAATGTTAAATTTCACAAAAACTTCAGAGGTTATAGAGTTTTAAAATGACGTTTATATGGAAAAATGTACTACAAATATATACGAGCTTATATTTTATATGAGATAGGTAATGCCAAATATTAAGAGAATTTTTTGCATGAAATTATGAAATTATGTTTTTGCAGAAACAAATTAAGATTGCTTGTCTATTATAACAATAAATTTTATATTATTAGTAATAGTATTAGTATAATATAATTAAAAAGCTAGCGACGCTTCGTTTCGGAAGCGTTTTGGTTTACCCTCGTAAATTTTAGTTTAAATGCATATGTGATGAGAAAAATTATGCTCTCTTATAGAAGAGCAAACAATATGGTTATCTTAGAAATAAGAAAAGAGCGTAAACTCACATTCATTGAAAATTAGTATACTTTAATTGCTTTTAATTGTTTTATATATGGAAAGTTATAGCTACGATATTATAAATTAACGTTACAAAATCGAAATGTGTAAAAAAAAAAGGAAAAAAAAATATTTTGTAATATATTATACTCCCTCCTTTTTGTGTATTTTTACCGCATTTCATATGGTAGTCATCTAAGAGCGAATACTCTCTTTTAGGAAAAATATATATTTTCTAAAATTCTCTTAGCATTTCTCTTTTCTAGGTTTTGAGTTACGTTGCACTTGTTTATCGATTTTTTTCTTGGTTGCTCTTTTAAAGTCGAACATGTCTCGTTTTAATTTTATAGCATTTTATTACTTATTAAAGATCACATGAGAGTTGAATAAATATGTATGTGGGAATGTATCTCTTTTGTGGTGCTTTAGTTTAAAAGTGTTGCACTTTTTGCCGGCTGCCGCTGTATTTATGTATGTGTTTGATTACTTGCAGCTGGAGATATATGACCGCGTAGTAGAAAGATAATTTTGCGGCATATGCATATGTATGTAGTTATATGTAAGTGTGCGTGTGTGTGGGTGGATTGAGGTGACCAGATGCTCTGTTTATTGTTTTACTTATTTATAATTGCATTTTGATATTTATACCCTGAGCTAGGTATAATAAGTTTACCACGAAACTTGTAACTTCCAAAAGGAAACGTCAGATCGGGCCTTTAACGTATACTCATATATATATACAATAAAAGATCAGCGTGACGAGCTGAGTTGATTTACCCATGTCTGTCTGTCTGTCTATACATATGTGTGTATGTATATACGCAAATTAGTTCCTCTGTTTGTGAGATATCGATTTGAACTTTTGCATACGCTCTTTTCTGCCATACAAACTGATCGTTCAAAATCAAGTTCTGGTGTTTTTTGGCTTTGTTAGTTGGTTAAAATGTTAGGTCATATATAAAGGTTTTAGTTTGAATTTCAATTAGATTTAAAGGTTTTTTCGGTTATAGCGTTGTATCTTTAATAATCAGTAATATTTTACAGGCTTTTTAGTTGAAATTTCTTTAAGCCAGAGTTCCCTTTCAGTAAAGAAAGATCTTTGCTGTGCTCTGTTAATATTATACATACATATGTTTTTAATTGAGAATCAGTAAGCCAAAGCAAATAAAAACTAATAAGAATGCGCGCAAGTCATAAAGTAAATACACAATTTATATATTTGAGTAATAACAACAATAATCCAATGATGGAAAATTAAATATAAATGGATTTCAATTAACAGTAATAGCGTTAGGCATGCGAACGGCATATGAGGAAGTAAATTAAAAACAAGGAAAAATGTTAACTTCGATTGCAGCGAAGCTATAATACCCTTCACAAACACAAAAGGTTCCTTACAAGATTACTTACTTGGTCCCGATCATTTAGTTTGTATTGCAGCTATATGCTATAGTGATCTGATCTTAACAATTTCTACGTATATTGCATTATTGCTTTAGATAATAATCCACGCCAAATTTTGTAAAGATATCTCGTCAAATGATAAAGTATTTCATACAAGTACTTCATTCCAATCGTTCAGTTTGTATAGCAGCTATATGCTATAGTGGTCCGATATCGAAGGTTCCGACAAACTAGCAGCTTCTTGGGGATATAACGACGTGTGGAAAATTTCTGATCGATATCTCAAAAACAGACAGACGGACATGGCTACATATATATATTTTATAGGGTCTCCGATGTTTTCTTTTGTCTGTCACAAACTTCGTACGAAATTTAATATACCCTGTTCAGGGTATAACTAAATAGAAGATTTGTGAGCGTAGTTTGAAGCTTGCATTGTCTAATATCGTAGAGGCATATTGCTATAAGACAATAGCGCAATAAGTGCAATTCGTACTAATTGATTTGACAAGATCTTATCAGAGTTGTGTTTACAATTGAGATGACAATAAAATAAATTAAGAGGAAGTCAAGTGCAATGCGTGCAACATAAAGCTGAAAAGTTTAGGAATATTTGAAAATTTTATTAAAAAAAAGTAAACACTGTTTAGCAGGCATTTAGTTACGACAAAATATAATAAGCAAGTACTTGTACTACAAAAACAAAAAAATTATGGCAATACTTTTGGTTATGCCAATTCATTTCGACTGATCATCCTGTATGTATAAAAACCTGTTATCATCATAGAAAAGTACTATAAACAAGGCGATTTGAGGACTTTTAAGTAAAAAATACTTAAAAAATAATGATTGAAGGAAATTTGTAAGCAAGTTATAAATGTTAGTTAGCCCTGTATAAATATTCTTTAAGTATATATAGTTTTTTCTGAATTTCCTGTGACACGCGATTACGTAATAAATATTTAGAAAATTTATAATCAAAAAGCGTTAACTTCCATGTAAGAAATTCACCAAAGCCAAATTTGTCTGAAATCCCAAAAAATTGGACTTTCGTGCCATATTCGGAAATCAGATATCGCGTTATTTGAATCGAAAGTGGTAGAAAAATTAACATTGTTGTGGAATCTTAAGTAATTAAACGGTGTGGGTCAAAGCATAAAAATATCGATTTGATATGGCATGAAATATCGATGTACTTGCTTGTGCATAACGATAATTTAAATCGGAATATATTGGTCTTATGTATAAATTTTCGACACAAGAGCGATGTTAGATGTAAATTTGTACATTTGATAATTTTAATGAATTTTTTTTACGAAACAAAAAAATATCGGCAATACATATGTATGTTACAAAAATGAAGAAAACAAAATAGAACACCTGCATTGTGAAGTGATGGATGTGTTTACCAATAGGAAAGTGAACTGGTGACTTTCAGCACACAGAAACTAAATAGTTATCAGCTGTTTAAATTCATGTATACCAAGCAATCATTCGATATAATGAAATTAGATGAAGACGTAGTTTTCAATAAGTAAAAGTCGACAGAGTACTTTCAATAACTTATCGCTATGCCATGTGACACTCAGCCAACGAGAAATCATGCGCAAAATTACAAGAATTTTCTAGGAAATGAATTACTAGAGCAAGCGGGAACTGCTCGCTTGGTGTTGCTCTAAACAATTTTGTGATAATATGAGAGAATTTCGAAGAATTTAAAAAACCTCGAATAGTTATAAAAATCAAGAACACCTGTTGTTTTATTCATAATTTTGACAATTGTTTATTTGAATATTATTATATAATATAATTATATAATTATTTAACATTTAGGCAAATCTAGAGAAACGCTTAAATTTCCGTTCAAATTTATAAATCTCATAAGACTAACACACTTACAATTTGCTTACAAACTTATGCGCTTAAATGTATTTTAATTATTAGAGTATTTGTTGCAATAAATAAAATAATAAAATATTTTTTGCTGAATCTAAATTAAATGTGTATGACTCCATATGGGGCGGTATATTGCATGGCATAATCGAACTGTATACAGCATAAATTAATTGTTACACTAATACATACCTATACCATTATTTGGAAAATTTCATATTATCAAATTACAACAAACCAACTTAATTATAGTAGAGGAAACCGATATGCGCCAATAAATTAACAAATATGCCCACGTGTAGGCGTTAGTACGGGAAAACAGGAAATACGGCGTTATGGTTTTTGGTGCACGCCTTCAACCCATTTTAGTCGACAACTAAGTCGTAAAAGCTTAAAAGTTTAACAATGCTATGCACTACAGAGCCAGTATTTGTCAGTCTATGGCGCTTAACGGGATTAGGGGTGTATGCAGGAGAGCGGTACGATATTGTGGGAGTAGAAGTAGATGAGTAGTTAGATGTGACTCACGCGTATGGTCTGTGTTGACTCGGTAGCTAAGCTTGCTATTTCCGCTGATTTGACACCTTTTATGATTTGTTTTTGGCTCTTGCTGCTGTTTCTGCGGCGTTGACACTCTGGCGGTTGGGTAAAATCAATTTGTTCAAATGTATCTGGATCGCTGATGGAGCGACGCAACTTAGTAACTGACGCGCGTTTGGCATGGAAGGAGCCGCGCAGGAAGCGCGCAAGCTCATAAGCGGGATTCCGACTACCTTTGGTATGCTGCGGCGGTGTGACCTTGAAAGTGGGCACTAACGGCGAGTGCAATTCAAATGAGGAGTCTGGCGTGTGATTATGACTGCGACCGCTAGATTGTGTGATATTCGAGCTGGCCGAAGAAATGCCGTCATCATGCTCATCCTGCTCTTTCTGTGCCGCCTCTAAATCAGCAAGAACATCATCATTATCATAGTCTTCAACATGCATGGCCTCAAAGAAGTCGTCGTCTTCGACATTGTCTTCCACATCGGATTGCGGTAGCGGTTGACAACCGAGCGCCGTTGCTCGTAACGGTAGTTGTGATGTAGACGCAGCTGCTGTTGCAGCAACCACTTTTGTTTTATTTGATTTGCACTTCTTTTTCCCGGAGAAAAACTGCAATACTTTGACCGCGGAGCGATAGCTGGAGCGTTCGGATTGTGAGCGCTGAAAATGGCTGCAGCATTTAGACTTGTGCTCCTTCGGTGCTGGCATTAACTCTGCACTCAGTTCATCCAAGTGCGTTTGACTATCAGCCGAACCCAAATCGGAATGTGTTGATTGTGTGTCTGGCGTGCTGGCGCCGCGCAACCACGGTGAATTACTACGACTGCTTTGCTGACTCGTATTGCCGCCGTTGAAGACATTCTGGTAGAGCGCCTTTGCTTTGCGACACAGATATGGGGAGCTTTTTGGTGTTGTGCGCGTACTACTACTGTTGCGGCGACAAGTATTCTGTGCTTGCTTAAGTTGTTGTTGATCTTGTTGGTGCTCCTGCGGCTGTTGATGCTGTTGTCGCGCCTCAAAGTTGCGTACGAAGCGTGCAAGGCTCTCACGATCCACTTCGGTGACACAGCGATGCCGCAGCAGACGCTGTGGTGTCTCCGGTAGATGTTTGATCTCGAAACTGGCATCGAAGGCAGCCGAGTCATTAATTTGACTGAGTGTTTCAACAAAGCGTTCAACCATATTGGCAATGTTGTTGGATTTTGGTGTTTGTGTGTGTTTGAGAAATTTCTCGTGGAATTTTTGGTGTTGCTGCACGTTGTTTTGATGTTGTTGTTTGTTATTATTATTCTCGGAATGCGCTGTTATTATTTCTTGAGAGTTTATATTATTTTTATCATTTAATTTGGTGTTTTTTGTTTTTGTGACATGTGTTAGTACGTAATTTTTGTAATTGTTTTGGTGTTTTGATTCTTTAGGCTCGTGTTTCGAAACGATCTCTAAATCTTTGCACAATTTACCGATGTTATACGGGTCATTTATAACTTCAGGCTGATTTGTCTCATACATAGTTTATGTCGTGTATTTCGCGGCTGTTTTATAAAGTAAATTTAATTTATTTTAAAGTTGTATATATTTTACTGAGATGCTGCGGCAATCAGAGGATTATTTTTAATTTGCTATAAATTCGTTCAAGCACTGTTACTTTTTCAGATTTTTAGTTTAATATTTTTGCATATCAGTTTTCCGCTCTGCAAAGTTTTGCTATGTTACACACGCACTGCTCGCCAGCATGAAACTGAATTGTTTGCTGCTGCGCAGCACTTTAAGTAAATTCTTCCAGCAGTCATCTGCCTCCTGGTATCTACTTTCGCTGGCCCACCAAACTAATGAACGCAAAAGCTCAACAGATCGATCGATTTGATCATTCCTCACTGGGAATTTTCTCTACACCTTTCTCCGAAATCAGGTGCAGATTGGCGCCGCAATTGTCTACGAGTATTTGCAATCAATTTCAATAAGTATCTACCTTGTGGCGTATAGCGTTGTGTGATCATATTCTTATTAGCCATAATTGGAAAACATAAACAAATCGATACTCAAGAAATGATTGGTTTGCAAATGAATTACGTTGAAAATCGGAAGAATAACATACGGGTATAGAGAAGTGTAAGTTCTCAAAAGAAGAAACAAAAACTTTTGCCCAGTATATTCGTAAGACTTCAAGCTTGTCCTGATATACGTATGTTTATGATACACAGCTGCTACGGCTATGTGATCTGCATAAACCTATTCACTGCAGCATTCTTAGAGGAGAGCAAACGTGCTTTTAAGCACGATCTTCCCCGATCATGTACAGCAGTACAACTTAGTCATACTGGTTCCATATGAATTTCATTCATGAATGCATAACATCAGGACTATTTCATCTCCGTTTGAATATAAGGATATAGCTGAGAATTTAGAAATCACATTTGTCCTAAATACTTGTGTATAACAAAGGAAATTGTTATGAGATTTTATCACAATATGAATTATATCTTGGATGATATATAACTTCATAATAATATAATACAAAATAATCTAGTTATGTCTAAATGCTTACTTTCCCTATACTTTTCTAATTTAATTCAATGTTGCTACAACAATGTTCAACAGTAGTTGGAACGTAAGCGAACAGCTGTCTGTATTTAGATTTTTGAAAAATTATGCATAATTCAATTATTATTCCGAATTGTATATTAAAAGGCGAAAATTATCGTTAAAACAAATTTTCAATAGGTATGATTGAATGTATTTTCGTTTATGGCAATTCTATGAATGAAAATGTAATAATGTGGAAAAATTCTTGAGCGGAAAAACACTATTGAATTCTAGGAATAACAGCTGAGTAGCACATATTGATCAACTACAACTGGTGAGTTCAGACATATGTAGATACTTTTACGATATATTTTGTATATGTGTGTATGTATGCATTATGTATGTATTATAGCCTGAAGAGGATGTATTAAATTTGCCACGAAGTTTGTAACACCCAGAAATAATCGGAAATCCTATAAAGTATATATATATATATCAATAACGAGGATAACATTGAAAAAGTACAGATATCTTGAAAACCGTAGTGTTAGCAGTAGACTGGTAGCAGGAACTCCGAAAATTTCATACGGAGCGGCTCAGAAAGTTTTGAGTATGTACCACGTCGCTAGTTCCAAAATGTCTGTTTGCTCGCAAAATACAATATAATGTCAAATTAAAGATGTGATAACTCAAAAATGGTAGTCTGTGACATTTCGACGCCGTTATAGTAAAACAATTCATGGTAGAAAACAATTAATTGATAGTTAAAATCTGGTATTGGTATTATTATTATTTTTTTTTAAGTCCCTCAATCAGAACCTATTATTCGATTTTTAAAAATAGAATATAGGTATAAAGCGTGTACAAATATAATTATACACTCAAATGGTGACAAGTTCATGCATATCAAAGCAAAACTTATCTAAATCAACCAAAAATGAACAAAACAAAATATAAACTAAACAATTAAATGCGCATTGCTCATTTTGCATTGACTGAAAATGAGTTAAGGAAAAATTTTCTCAATTACTTGTTTTGTCGTGACAGTGAAATTTAGGTTCCCATGTGTGCACACATGCAACACATTTACATATATAATATGTACGCATATTATATATACAAAGGCCTAGAACATACATTTTATATAAGCAGAAAATGTTTGTTTAACATTCAGATGTTAGGCCCCGTGCAGGTGGCAGAAGGTGTCAGACGACACATACCTACATAGTACATTTGTATGAACATTTAAATATCCGTTGGTGCCATATGTCAACACACAAAAATGAATGATGAATCGCTAAAACGTCAGGGTAGCCGAAGTCGTGCCCAAGTCTTACTGGTCGGGCAGGTAAATGGGGTTTTCTTAGTAGTATGCCAAGAAACAGGTTTGGAATTTTAAAAGACTAAAAGCTAATACAATTTACGTCACGAATAATTATTAAGTGTGTGGGTGTGTCATGGTTAAAAAAAGCCTCTATGACAGACGGAATGTGCGAGGAAATTGAATAGAAATATATCATAAAATGTTACAACTACAAGTAAGTACATAAGTAATTTGTTAGCCGTAAAGGAAGAAGCGACCAGTGTTCACTTGAATAAATTAAAAATTGAAATTTAATGATTACGAAAGTGGCAATTAATGCATGACCACACGTACGGGGCAGAGTTAGGGTTGAAACAAAGTGAGGCATAATATAAAAATGGTGTGTCAATAAATGTGACTAATTTCCAGACTACTATGTACGTATATTTATATGTACATACATGCATACATATTGACAAGCAAGTGCAAATACTAGAAGTCAGACTATGATTGCTGAATTGTGAGTTTCCATACCCAAACATATGTAGAGTATGTATGTATATACGCCTGTATAATAATTACGTTGATAATGTGTTGTTGGTTGTATTGCATCATTTGCTTGGGCAGACAATTCTGCGAAATCCAAAAATTATCGATATAATACTGGGAATTTCATTACGTCTAAGCGAAAACCAACGACCTTCTCGCTATAAAATTAATATTTGCTAAAAAAAAAAGGAATTTTGAGTTGAAAATAAAAACTAAATTTAGAAAAAACGTTAACTTCGGCTTCACCGAAGCTTCACAGGTATATAGCAACTATAATAACTAAATCTGTTAATGAAATCGGCCAACGGTGAGCAACCAACGCTAGTTCTTTCTAGCCACTTTGTTTGTTATAAAGAAAAGTCAAGATGAATTAATGTTATTTAATGGAAAATGGTCTTTTATGAAGATATTTATATTTATTTTGACCGCTCATTTGTATGGCAGTTAAATAATATAGTGTTTCGATCTGAACAATTTGTTTGGCGTTTGTAATGCTTAGTTGGATATAATTTATGCCAAATTTCGTTCCTATGCACAAACTTGATTTTGATCGATCAGTTTGTATGACACATTAATACTATTGTGCTTTGTAATCGGCGGTACTAACAAATGAACAACTTCTTTGGGGAAAATGACGATATCTCCAAAACTGAGGGAGTAGTTCGTACATAAAATTTCCATTTACATACATATGTATGTATATATTTAGGTTTTTCAATATAAAACAAAAATATTTATTTTTTACTAATTTCCATAACGTTTCTATATATGACTCTATGTGTGATACATAGAATAATTGAAATTCAAAAATTTTAAGCCATCACCGTTTTTGCAGCATTCTTGAAAGGAAAATGAGCAACAAAAAAGGAAATTGAAATCTCAATAAAAATGTCATAAAACTTGCGATTAATAAGTGAGCTGAAAATAAACTGCACATTCATGCTGGGTATTGCTGCATACCTAAATACATACATAAATATGTATATACCTGGAAGGCTGATTGCGTGTGCAATTTATGTCTGTATATATTGCGCACCCACACTACACTTAAATATGTCTAATTACAATGTTGATGCCGAATTTTCCGCAATTGAAATGCTCAAATGATCCTCGAATGCACATAACTTACTAAATTTTTTAGGGGAATGAGTATAATTTCGCTTAATTGCACATGAAAAATGTTTTCCCTTAATGAGTTAGACATTGCAATTTAATTGCAATGCCGGCAATAAAATTTTCCCAAAAAAAAACATTAGTTTTTCAAAGAAAAAAACCTAAAAAATGCTATAAAATTTGAAACTTCAACTAAAATTAATCCAAATCCTCTGGAATTCGAAGAATTTTTCCGACGCGCTGTCTTGTGCGTAGCGTAGCCATAACGATTTTGCGTTTTAGCGCTGAGCGTTTACGCGAATTTATTGCAAATTAAAGTTATGGTTTTCTTGTATATGTACGTGTGCTTGTTTGTGTTTTTAGGAGTACAAGTATATGTTATCATTATTTATGTAGTTGGTTTATTTTTAAACGATTTTCACTTTTTAGTAGCTGTTAAGTGTTGTTTATTGAAAACAAATGAGGAAGCGTTGTGTTGATAGACGCCGCTTAGCCTCGAAACTTAATAAAAGAAAAATGAATTAAAAGAAAATCGAAGAAGTGCTTTTCAACACATACTGATGTGCCGTTTTGCACGTAACGAAATATATACAAATATCTCATGCATATATGTACAAGTATATGTAAGTATGTTATATACAGTGAATAAAAAAACAACTTGTACAGAGAGATGCTTTGACTTTGAAGAGTCTTTTTCTTAAACTATTTCAGCTTTTAAACTGCAACCTAGAGTAAACAAATGAGAATCTCATGTATTTTTAGTTTTTTTTATAAAACTTTTAACAATTTTGACGTTAACGATGGAAAAAAAAAATAATATATCTCACTTATGAGCAGCCAAAAAAAAACTTGCACACATACGTTGCCAACACTTTAAATGCAGTTATTAAGTAGGTATTATTCGAAACTTCTTGGTTTTACCTAATTTTAGAGCGTCAACACCGCGAAACAAGCCATGCTTGTCGAAGGGAAATATTGCGAAACGTTTATATGCCCAAAAGAGTAGTATATCCACCGTGATAACGAATTTTTAGATTCTGTAGT